TCTTCATAGTCATCACCGTGAAAGACTCAAATCTTACTTAATATTTCCTGTTTATTTTTGTGTCTCAGTGTAGCTCAGCCAGGAACAGGGTGAGACACAGAGCACAGGTCATATGGAGGCAGTGGTGCAGAACTTTCCTCAAACTTGTGTCATATCCCAGCAGACCAGAATAAGGACACCCACCACCATCAAAACCTGAAAATTTATATCTCACATTATATTGCCGTGTGAATCTCACACTGCCTGTGATAATTTATTAGTTTTCTAATTTCTTTTGGTCATAGCTGTTATGGCATATAGTGTACAGGTAATTTTACATGATTACATATGTTTATTATGTAGTTCTTGTTTAAAGAACTTATGTATATATAAACTGTTGTTATGTAATGATGTCCTCAGAAAAATTCGTTGAGATTGGTGCTGTAATTTGCTTTATGGTCTACTGAAATAAGGCCCAAAAACATAATGTGAATATCATATAAAGATCTGTTCACTGTAGAACTTAAGCACTTCTCTTGAGTCAGATTCATTTATAGTACTTTCATCAGTTTAATATGCTGGGGCATCTGAAAGATAATTATGTTTAAATCATTTCATAGGTCAAGTCTGTGGATCTTTCATTAAAGAAGTTTTTGGAACCATGTGAGATATTTTATTGTTAACATTTTCACTTGAAGCCCTTCATGGTGTAAAAAAAAATGTTATAAGGACTATTTGGCATTATTTTCTGTTAAATTAGTGGTAAACAGTAACAAAGGAAAGCCAGATGGTAAGTTTATAAGTCTCATATCTTTGCATTTCTGTTAGAGGCTGATTCGACCCCAGGGCCATAGTGCGGCTAGAAGGATTAGGTCAATTGAAAAAAAAATCCTGTGACCTCATCAAGACTTGAACCCGCGACCTTCCGGCTTGTAGCATAGTGCCTCAACCAACTACGCTACCGCGTGCCCCTCAGTACGCTTAGATATGCTGAAAAATCCGATCCTGAATCTTTTATCTATTTTACAGTTGATGGTCAGCCAGAATATACATCAGCATCCTCTGCACTTCTTATTTGCAATCTTTCCTCCTCTTTGTACAGTTACTGCTGTACTGAGCTGTAATTTTTCCAGAATTTATCTAATTTTTCATGCTGTAATCACTAAAATTGTATCGTAGATCATTGTTGCTCTTTGGTGCATTTGCTGAAAGATTGACCATGTTAAATGTGTTACATTATTACCACTACTCAAAGGGTAATGAAACTGCAATGAGGGAAGGTTCATACCATTAAACATTATCTCTTTAGTGCTATCATCTTCTCATCAGATGAAATAAAATTGCCTTTTTGACTCCCTTGTGTTATCCATGTTCAAGATTCAATTAATCATTTCAAGAGACATACCTTGTACATTATTTTCTGCATGCCTTTCATATTTCTTAAAACACCCTTCTGCCGAGACATTGTCAGCCTGAATACAAAGGGTACCTTGATTGAGTCTTATGCTTCTTTGTTCATGCTCCTGTGGTTCACTTCCTCCAGACATAAATCTCTTTGGCCATAAGCACTTCTTTAACTATCTTGATTCAGGATTCATAATCCTTTTAATAATAATTATCACTGTCTTTGAAAGAGTTTCAGTGAAATGAGAAGCATGCATCTTTAGAATCAAGAAGAATATTTTACTGTTTATCTCTAATGCCCTTTGCTTCTTTTTTATGTATTTGGTTGTAAATGAACATATTTATATATTAAGTTAAAATAAATAATAATTAGCTCTTTTATGTTCATTCCAAAGTATAACACACAGTTATTTCCAAATGAAGCAAACTTACCATACATCTTTCTTATTCAAACAATGTCAAAGGAAATAATTCTATTTCAGTTTATATCCATGAATATGATGTGTTTGTGCATTAAGATTCCATCTTATATTTTCATAGTATTCTGTTACAGTACTTAAAATGACCCCGTATCTGTTGGGTATAGCAGCACCATAGGTACTTATAATTTAATTTTTACTTATTAGTTCCTGTGTAGACAAAGCTTAAAAATGCACTGTCCAACTAGATTAATTTAAATTTCCAAAGAGCAGCAGTGGACCCTCGTGGGTAGGACAGTATTACATTTGGAAGATGAACACAAGTTACCTCCACTGTTAAGATTATCATTAGCTAATTTGCAGATTAGTTATTTCCCTGTTCATTCGGTTGCTCCATCTGTCTTAGTCTGTGAACTTAAAATGGACTGTGTTTAAAATTAAGATTGTCTGCACAGATGTAATAATTTTTCAGATATTGAGATTGTTTTTTTTTTTATTATATTGCTTTATGCATAATACTGGAGTTAACCCATTTGTTTCACAGGCTAAGTCTGCCTTTTCTAGTAATTGAATCAAAGGACTGATGTTCGTGACACTTGGTATGAACAACATACCCTTAGAGGCCACTGTGCCTTCGTATTATGCAACTTCCTACCATAAATTGTGCCAACATGGCAAATGGAGTGGAATGGAAGCAACATTGGCATCATATAATGTAGGATCTTGAAATTAAAATAAAAAATTTTAAGGTAAATTTTATGCAGAACATGAAACAGCACAGGGCTGTGTTAAATTTTGTATTAAACTCTTTTCATTTGATTGCAATTTTTAATGAAAAACTGGTGCTAGGCATGTGAAATATTTTATGAAGATGGCTTACGAACAGTGGTGAGCATCAGTACTTGTGGAAGATTACTGTCTTCTGGAATGTGATGCTGTGTAGTCTTGTAGAAAGTTAACCAGCATTTCAGAGGAACCTGCTGCATTTATCTTAAAGTTAGAAGGGACCCTGTGTACACTAAAGGTGGATTCAGCTGGTTCCTCTGAAGTGGTGGTCCCAGAAGATAGCAATATGTATATTCACCATTATAAGAACCTCAAATCTGATGTAGCACTAGTGTAAATTTACAGAATCGGCCTAGTAAATTTTAAAATCAGTAATTTATAATTCTTGAAAACCTCATCTTACATTGTAGTGAAATAAGTTCTTCACAGAGTGTTGTATTCATAGGGTCAAGCATCTCTGTGTCATGTGTGTTGCTTGTGTATTGTCTTCGATGCATATAGAAATGCTTATTCTAATTAGTATCTTTTTGATGTTATTTATGCAGCATACTCTTCACAACTGTTTGCTAAGCATAATTTATGACTATGTGAATATGGTCTCTAATCATTAGATTGAACTGTTTATTGCTAATATTTGAAGTTTTGCCAAAACTAACTTTTTCAGGTTTTCTTAATACTTGCTGCTCTCATCATCATAGTTATTTTCCTCCCATTACAAGAAGCAGCACTGTCTTTTAATGTGATCAGAAATCAGGATGATATTTTAAGAATGCCCTCTTCTGGGATGTGGTGAAAGACTGCATTCTTCATAGTCACTGTGGTGAAAACCTCAAATCTTACATAAGATGATATTTGGTTATTTTACAACTTGTATCAACAACTGAGACCAGTGGCCTTATAATCTAGTGTTTAGAATACAGATTTGATATTCAGAAGATTCTGGGTTTGATCTTGACTGCTGTCACTGATATTTAAAACAAAGACAATAAAAATATCTTAGTACAAGGGTAAGTCAGTAAGTAAGTTACAAATGGATATAGAACTTAAACAAATAAGAGTACTGATTTGAAAATTGCTTTTATTTCTCAACATAATCTCCCTGTACATTGAGGCACTTGTCCCATTGTTTCACAAGCCCCTGAAAACCAGCAGCGTAAAATTCTTTGGGCTGCTGTCGGAACCAGGTGGTGACTTCCCTTTCTGTAGCTTCATCGTTGGGAAAATGTTCAGCCGAAAGATAATGTTTAAGAGGGCCGAACAAATGGAAGTCGCTTGGAGCTAGACTCATCACCTGTAACAGTTCGGGCTAGCATATTGTATCCTTCATCATGGTAGTGATTGAGATGTTGTAATGCCAGACCCATTCTTTGCATTTTGTGTTGTGGGGTAAGCATGCGCGGTACCCATCATGCACAGACTTTGTGAAAACCTAACCTCTCATGCGACTTCCATTTGTTAGGCCCTCTTAAACATCATCTTTCAACTGAACATTTTCCCAACGATGAAGCTGTAGAAATGGAAGTCACCGCTTGGTTCCGACAGCAGAATTTAATGCTGCTGGTTTTCAGAGGCTTGTGAAACGGTGGGACAAGTACCTCAGTGTACAGGGAGATTATGTTGAGAAATGAAAGCAGTTTTCAAATCAGTACTCTTATTTGTTTAAGTTCTATATCCATTTGTAACTTACTTATTGACTTATCTACATATAAATCAACCAGTCACCTGAAGATGAGAGAATAATTTAATCCTGTCATGTATATTAAATATATGATGCTAGACGTGACTGCAGTGGATCAAAACAACAAAGTTCATGAGTGAACTGTATTATAAATGTCCATTAGCCACTATTTTAATTGTTTTGTAGACAGTATAAAAGTTTTATAATAATGTTCTTCGTGTTTAACATTCTGATCTTGTATGAATCAGAGTGATGTTTATATGTGACTTCAGTCAAAGTAAAATTAATATTAGGTCAGACTGTGACATTCAAGGTGTATGGCAGCCATCTGCACAATGACCTATTACTAAAGTTAATAAAGTAAAAAATTAACAGGTCAGTATTAATTTAGAATGATGTATGGTGCAGCTGAAATATGAAATTAACATGCACTAGTTGTGGAGGCTTAAACATACGTAATTGTTGTGTTAGGATGCCGAACACATGAATGGGTTGAAAGAACACAACACATTTCATTCATAAAGTAAAAAGTACAAGTATGTACTTGTTCACTGAGTACACTTATAAATAACAGACAGGAAATTTAGTTATATGGTTTAGGTATAGAGTTCTGGACAGAGAGTTCAATGAAACCAGCACTGATGTCTCTTACTCAGGTTTTGTATGATAGGTAAGTGCCAAATTCACTAGCAGAGACTTAGAAACACTGGGAAGTAAGTTCAGTATTGAAAATCAGGCAGCACCTTACATGTACTTTCACATTATATTGGATACAGTTCATGAAGAATGAGTGGAGGTTATGTCAAGGAAGTACATAGTTTGGTTCTTGTTCACAATTGCACATTTTTCTTATGTAAAATGAGAACTTAATGGCCAAAGTGGGAAGAGTTAAATGATGGTCAGCACAATCATAAGTGATATGTTATTACAGTAGACTCTTTATTAACTGTAGAACTTTTAGAACCCTTAGTTATTGAGTATAACTTCCTCTAATGATTTTGGTGTTGTATCACATCTTTTTTAGTAATCAGTGTTAAAAGTATCTCTCCCTGTTTTGGGTTTCTATTTTATTAGTTTCACTGAACAAAGGTTACTTTTTTTTTTATTATTTGGAATATATTTTTCTTACTGTTTATTGACCAGCAGCAGGACCAGTACACCCTACAGGTTCATTACAGATTTTAACTTCGCACAGAGTTCATCAGATCATTTTTAATTTTGCCACTCTACGTCTCCTCTCCATTGCCACAGATAATCATATTTCACTTTATATTTGTTTTCTGTTCCAGGCTCCATATTATCAGTAGTTACAATCAATAGCCAAATTAATATTTTCAGTAAAATGGATCACCTGGAGTTCCAGATTGCTTCTACTGCATGCCTTGCAAGTGTGCAGCCATAAACCTGAAGAGCATATTAGCTTGAGAATCGATCTGGTCAGATCCAAAGGCTAGTAACACAGGGCTTTTCAAAGATAACTTGCCTGGATTGCTACAGTTAAATAATGGATAGTTAGTTGGGTAAGGCATGTGGCATGTAAAGGAGAGATGAGAAATTTATGTAGATTTTTGGTCAGGAAGTGTCAGAAGAGACCGGGATGTAGATGGAAGCAAAAGAGCAAAAACTGTCAAGAAACAGGTTTCGAGGACAGGATCTGGATTCAGCTAGCTTAGAGTAGTGTCCGTAGTATCCTTTGTCAACATGGTAATAAATAGGCATGTGCAAGTCATGAATTTTCAGGATTGAATAAAGAAAGATATTGTTTGCAACGATGATTTTTCAATCTTGAACTTCTAGAATTTTGCTTTGCACAGTAGTGCACACAGTTTATACCTGGTTTATTAGAATCGTAATGGTTGGCAGCACTAGCATGAATCAGCTTGACAAAATTTTTCTCTCATATTTATGCCTGTTGTGGAAAACAACATGACCTTAGAATTGAGCTCTTTAAAAATAAAGTGTAATGATTTATGAAAAATATTCACTGGAAAAGAATCTGATATCAGAAAGGATAAGTAACAGTTTAGTGAAAGAGTGGCTGGTGCTTTAAATTGTGATTTCAGTGAATATATTATTCTAGTAGAGGAAGTTCTTGTTCTTATTTCAGTTCTTGGAACTTACCCATATTCTTATCTTAGTCTTGTATCAGATTAGAGAAGTAATTCCTTCACATGCCTAGGACTAAACCCTTGGCTTCTTTAACAGGGGAATTTCTCAACCATGCGATGGATTTAGTTAACAGAACAGTAAAAAGGCCCAAAGAATGCAGACAAAAACAAACTCAATATGTAGGCATGCATTGCTCCATCTAATACTTCACAGTGCAATAAAAAATACACTGATAGGAATGAAGTCAGCACTGCTGATCAGTCAGTAGCAGATGGAAGAGAGTTGTTTGAGGATGGGTGGATGGGTAGGTGCAGTGTCTACACTTGTTATGAAGTCCTGTGTGGGGTGACTTCAGATTAAAATTTTGGTAATGTTTTAAAATTAGAATTGTGTTTTAGCATTTTTTCATTTACTGGGTCTTTCTTATTTATCACTCTCTTTCTTTATTTAATAATTGTTATGTGTTGTGATTTTTTCTCTTAAGTTGCTGCACATGCCTCCACATATATTGCTTGTTTTTAATCAGGAATAATAACAATCTTTTACATGTTGCAACATGTCACAGTTTTTGATGAAGTTTTTTAAATATTCTAAAGTACATATTATAGCGTGTTTGGGTGACTGAAGACGCTGTTTGGATTGGTAATTGGGTTTATTAACCACTTAGTTACACACACACTCACTTACACTCAAATACAGCACTCTTGCTGATTTACACTCCTCATAATCCACTGTTGCATGCATGCACACACTAGTCCTCTTTGGGTAACATATTTCAACACAGAAACTGTCACTTCAGATAGCTCCAAGTATTACACATAATTAAAGTCTTCAATCACCCTTTAAATCTTCACAGGTCTTCTACACTCTCGAGTACTCCCACATACTGACATCTGTTCTGTCTGTAACCATTGTTTTATATCCTCTGCACTGACCACGCAGAGAACAGCCTATACTGTTGGAACGTGTTTACCAACCAATTGCACAGCAATGGTCGCAGCATGGACTTCATAGAAAACGCCTCAATCCCAATGTTGCTTTGTGTGTATTTGGTCATGAGGTGTTTTGTGGTCAGTCACCTAGCAACACTGTGTTCATCTACGTTACATTGCTCCCTCCTAAAGGCTGTTCATTCCGAATAGCCTATTGGTGCACCACCATTCCTTTTCTTCTGAGGTTTCTGCTCGTTGCGTCTTCTTGTGGTTAAGCTACAATATATTCCAATTTTCTGTTTTTGTTTGTAGTATGAATATGGTAGAAATATGCTCTAATAAAGTTTATCTGGAGGGCTGAAAAATCACAAAAAGCCTGGCAGTATAAACAGTCTTTGAACTGGATCTGATTATTTATCAGTATTGCATTACTTTGTATTAAGGAATGATGAAATATATATATATATATATATATATATATAATGGCGTAATTATATTGTTTGAAATGTGTTATTAATGGAAATCAAACTTTATTTTGTGTTATACTGTAAATGATATTATAAGCAAATAGTTATATTATTAATGAACTGAAATGGTATTTAAGGTAAAACTTTGAATCTGTCAGATGTTACTGAATCTTACTAGCCATATATAAAAGTTATTTTTTCTAACTGCTATTTAACAGAATAATTATTATAATTGACATTAGGCATTTGTAGTGAGTGTACTTATCTTTAGAGTGAATTAATATTATAGCCAATGGGTGTGGAATGAATGCATGAATTTTTAGAATAAAGTTGTTTGGAATGATACTCGTGATCATAATGTCAGTTTTCCTCCCCCCCCCCAAAGAATTATGATGTGCACTCAAATGATCATATATATAAGATAATCAGAAATATTCTTTGTTTTAACAGTCTAAGTGCTATTGATGGATATGTTTGCTCACACATAAATTTTGTTTAGTATTAGAGGGTGTCCTGACTTTGTCCGTCATCTGAGTCTTTGGTTTTCCAGTGACGTGAGATTAGCTCTTTCTAATGGATGGAACTGATAGGTGCCTCACAAAGTGAGAACAGAAACAGCAGTTCCATACTGGTGGACAAGTGCAGGAACACAGTAGCATCAAGTATTATGTACCGTTGTCAGAACCCTTTAGAAGGATCTAAATTTCATGTATGACACTGCCAAAGTAATTTGTCTGTGTCAGGATAGCTCAATGAGTAACATTATGAACTGCTGGAATTTTAAGCCTAGAAGGTGCAGGGATTTTTCTCTTTTCCAACATGTGCAGATTAGCACTGTTTGGATTTCCCATGCTTTGGTTACGTGTATGGCACACTTCAGGCATTATGGAGTTGAATGAGACTGTGTGTGGTTTGACTTTATTGATTTGTTTTTTCTCTTGGCTCTCACAGTATTCAATCTTCTGATAGACTGGGTGTATGACCTACTGCAATGCCCATTGAAAGATGAAATGATATGTTTTGTATTGGACATAACGGGGACTAAACTCAAGCTGCATATGCAGTATTTGGGCCCTGAGAGCACTGGACCTGGAAGGTATTTCTGAAGCCAAGGTTGTTGTTACCCTTATGCTGGTAGCTTGGGCCATGGATGGTTCCACTGGCATCTTAGTTGACTTGATCTCGGATCCATTTTCATTGCTGCATTAGTCTTCAGCCTCCTTAAGTTTACCAGTGCCCACTGATGTGCAGCATATCAGCCTAAAGCTGGGACTCAAATTGTATGTCCAGTGATAGCCTCCTTTGATGTTAAAGACTTGTAAACTTTCTGTGCTGTAAGTTCAATTGATGGACTGTTATTGAACATTAGTTTGTCTTTTATATCTGTTAGTTAGGAAATCCAGCTACAGTCTAATTTGGCTTTTGTTGTTGCCATCAACTCCATTCTGGCTTTTCTGAGCCAAATGCTATATCAATGTTTACATCCCCAGATGTAAGTGCCCTGTGCGTTTATTGTTCACAGGTATCAAACACCCACTGAATCCCTGTCTGAGTATGTAACCGGTCAGACAAGCTGCAAAATATCATTGTATGAACAGCAAGTAGTCTCCTATTGCAGAAAATGCCACTTGTCTGTAGGTAGATACTTCATTTAATTTTTTGTTTGAAGCCAACTTCATGCAATTAGGTGTTTGACTAGGTACACAAAATTTCAGAAGGGCCATATCAGTCTAATGGTACTGTGAACCTTGGTATGAGATCTTGGTTGGCCTTCACCCAGCTTGTTGATGTCTCTCCATCCACCTCATGCACACCACTGTTTGAGATGTATAGAGGTGGGTCATTTGGCTCCGAGTGTACATGTCTAAGGAGTTACCTAGACCTAAGTTATCTAATGCTCAGGCCACAAGGGCTGGGTCTGGTAAAGTGGGATTTGTGGTGGACAAAGTGGCCCTGGGGCAGGTTTCCTCAGTACTGCGGCTGGTACAATAGGCCAGAAGTGGCCGCAGTACAAGGGACTTAGTCCCACCCCACTAGCAATAAAAAAACTTTTACACTGTGAAATGGCATTCACTTGACATTCTCAAGGTGACAGCCATCACACTGAAGGCATGCCTCAAGTAGAGTTAAGTTGGAATTAAGGTTTTCTGGTATCTTTCAAGTAATGAATGTAATCCACTGTATAATCTTTTCATGTAGGTCTTGAAGAATGACCTCTTCTTACAAGTCGCCACAAGTAGATATTTGGCTGTGTGAGACCTGGAGAGTTTAAAGGACAGATAAATTTGATTTATTAGGAAATGAGGTGCAAGTTGGCTGACTGTATGGTACCAGTTTTGGTCCTTTCCTATATGAATAAAAGACATGTTGTGTGAAAGAGCTCTTCATTCAAATTCATTTACTTAACAGCTGTTGACATGGAATAACACACACAACATGTGCACTCATAGAAGTGCTGTCATTTTTCAGGTTATCTTATACATGGGCATTGTGTGTATCACTAACGAAGCACTTTTGGTCAAAATGGAAAAAAAAATATGTGTGAATCTGAGTATGGATGTGTTCGCTAAACCTACTCATAGGTCTTCCTTCAGCTAGAAGTTGTCCAATGGAAGGCACTGTGGGTGTTTCTTGAAGCTGCCTGCTGCTTCTAGGACTCCTCCTGGAGCACATAACCAAGGGTCTGCTGTTGCCTTCTGCCATTCATCAAGTCTTGTCTTCAACTCCAAAAGTATATTCTACAAACAGTGAAGTTTTCCAAAAGCAGAATTAGATCTTCTGGATATAATAACTGCTCTTAAACTTATTAAAGCCAAAAGATATTTTAAACTTAAATGTACTCATAGCTATGAGTGTTTTTTATTTACTTATGATAATTTTGGGAAGTACAGAAATTTCTATGTTGCAACCTCAGAGGTTGTTTATAATGATAATGCAAAACTCTTATTATTACGCAGATGTCAGAAGAGAGACCCACATTATTTCGGGAAATTTTTTATAATGTGAAAGTTTTTATTTGTAACACATTTATTATCAAATTACAATCAAAATATATTGTACTTAGGTTTAAACACATGCCTTATTTAATCAGTGTTTTGAAATAGTGCAGTATTTTCTTCTGGTGTGACAGCAGATTCCAACATTGGAGGGCTTTTCTGTAGCTCGTGTAGAGAAGCACTAGTGTCTAGTAAATCAGTGATCACATACAGGGTCATATTACCCAATCACAGCACCCAACTAGACACAGTTGTTTGAATAAAATTGTTTACAAAGAAGAAAATCAGTCAAATTTTTAAACAGAGTTGTTTAAAAAGAAAATAAATGGAATAATTTTGGGAGACGTGACTAGACCCATGGTATATCTAAATCCATGGTACAGTTTTACTGTATGTAATTTATTTTAAGAATCATGACTTTTTTTCCATATGGCAGTAAATTCAGAGAATAGGGACATTGCTTTGGAACCCTCTGAAGAAATGACTGATTGGAAAACATGTGATTTTCAGCAAGATAATACAACACCACATTTAGCACAAATGTTTTTTCAGGCTAAAAAATACGATAGATAAACAGACAACCTGCAAAGAAATATGACTGTCGTAGTGTATTAGATTTGAACGTGTTTTATTTTTGCGGAAACCTAAAATTTAAAATCAATCCATGCACTTCTGAACTTAAGGTTGATCAGCTAATAACACAGTACAGTATGTGTCATACATTTAATAGAAAAAAAAAACAATGCTGTAAAATCTTTTGGATAGTTCCTTTGCTAGACAAACCTTATATGCTGGTTTAGATGCCACGTTGTTCACCTCTTCAGCATCTTTTTTGAGGTCATACAACTCCCACTCATCTCTGTAGTAGTAACTCTTAAGTGTCTTGTACCAGTTCAAGGGTTTTTTGGACCGTGTTCTGTTCAGGAGATCCTATAAAATCATAAAATATAATAAAATTACACCAACTAATGACCCCTCCGCTAGTCAAGAAATTTGCAAACTTTTATAGAACCTGAAATTTCATTTGCTGTTGTCACAGAGAGTTCTTGTCCTGTGCCAGATGAATCTAGTGCACATCTTCACACCCTGTTTCTCTAAGATCCTATGTGTGCTACATGTTCTCCCTATCTAAACCTCCTTGATTTGATCGTCCTAGTAATTATAGAATGATCTGACACTGTCCAGTGTGACTAAAATGTATATTTATATATATATGATGCCTTTACATGTTTTGGTCAGTAAATGACCATCATCAGAAAGCACAACATGTTTTGGAAACTACTATTACATAGGTCATAGTATATCATATTGAATCAAAAGTTGTATATACAGATTTTAATGAAGACAAATTGTTGTTGAGTTAAAAGTTGTTAAAATTCTTGATATTTAAAATCTTAAACCGCTAAGGTTTGTGTCTTTGTGCCTCTTCTATCAATGGGAGATTGGGGAAGATATTGCCATCATTAGAGGTCGAGGCCATGTTTTCCCCCTTTTTTATAGTAGGTTAGGAATCTGTATGTTCTTATGCTGTTACTCTTTTCGTTGTATGTTGAGTACTGAGTGTTATACACAATCATTGGTACACTTCAGAATCTCCCAACAGTTTCCACCTCTTTTGCCTGCTGAAGGATTTAACAGCCAGAAGTTTGAAAATGATGAGCAGATTCAGATCCAGCATGTCTATCATTTCTTGTTGATGCTTAAAAAAACCTGTATGCATCTGGGTTTTCAGACCTCGTACAGTGATGGGAACAAGTTAGGAACTATAAATACAGTGTAACAATTCTGATGCATTTGCTCATGTATGTCTAATTATTTTAAAACTGTAAGACTTCCTGAAAAAGTGTATTCAGTGTAAGATATATCTTCAGTTTTTCTCTACATATACTGTTTGAAACTTTTTTGCTCTGATAAATGTTTAGTGAGATACATTCGAGACAGGTGCAGTATTATTGTTCAGTTTCAGCCAAAATTCAAATGTGCCACCAAATTTGAAACTCCCCAATATGAAATTAATGCAGTTCTTAGGTTGTTATATGGGGACACAGAGGCACAGGCAGGCAATGTGAAACCAATAGGAATATTTTTTTCAATTTTTCGTTGCGAACATGTTAGAAATATGTGTGAGTGATGATTACATAGAGAATAAAGGTACCAATATCCTTGCAGTACATGTACCGGACACGAAATAAAAACAAACTCTTGGAATTATATCACCAGTTTATATTGTACTTTAATAACTGACCTGAAATGATGGAGAAATATAGAAATCTTGATCAATTGGGAAAGGCATCTTGTAGTTGATGTTGTGTATAAGCTTGTACCGCTTGGTGCGTACTGCTCTCATGGGATAATACATGGTGATCTCATGGTGGCTGTGACTAGCAAACACAGCCCCTGTGTCATGTGCAGGCTCTGAGTATATAAAGAAATAACATGTTGAAGTGCATACATGATACATTTAGCAGTTAAATTGAGGACTCTATTTGTCACAGCAAATGAAAGTTGTTATAAGGCAAAGATTTTTTTATTGCTTTTCTGAATTTGTGTTGAGTCAGATGAACTCAGTTTAGGAAATTACCTTTCACCAGCAATGGCAGAAGTGACTTCCCAGTCAGTATAGGCTTAACTTCATTTTCATGAGGGTATGATATGTTGAACCAGTCTAACAGTGTTGGTACAATGTCCAACAGGCTTGTCATACTGTATGTCACTTCATTGTGGCGATGTTCTGGCTGTGGAGAGGAGATTAGCAGGGGTTCTGCCATTCCTGTGCCACAGAACAAGACGCAGCACATCAGTGTTAGTATTTTCACAGGGGTATGAACTCTATTTCCAGTACATGTACATACAGAAGGACTGTATTTATATAATTTGTCACTGTGTAGAGCTGGTCCTTATTAAAAATTAACAATAATAAATATGGCACTAGCTAGTTGATCCATCTAAATAAAAACATCTGAAAAGTCCTGCACATCTTCCTTAAACAGTACCTGGATCATACAAGTTTGTGCGTCCACTTGGAAATGGAATACCATTATCTGATGAATAGATTATGAGGGTGTTATTCTCAAATCCAGCTGCCTTCAGTTCTTGTAAAATCAGTCCCACACCTAGGAAGTGAATATGCTGTCATTATCGTATTCAAAGTGCAGCTCTACATGCCACATGTCTTAGTTTTTCACTATTTGAAAAGAAAAATAAGAATGCCACATTCAACAATAACATGTTGCTTTTTCCAGAAAAATGTTCCATAAAATTCCACTGCATCTTTTTCAAGGAACAGGAGGACAACATTTGAATTGTCTGGGATCTGTCTAGTAATGTTTACTAACCAGACTGACCACAGAGTGGTTTTTAGTTCTTAATGTACCAATGGAACCCTTAACCACTTCTGGTGATATGGCCATCCTCCCACATGATGGGACATGGACCACGAAGAAAATTATATATATAAATAAACATATCAGAAAGGAATAAAAATATTTGCAATGTGTTAAAAAATCAGAAACACAGCATGATAGGGTTTTTCTTTCTTTCTTTAAAATTGGTGCCTAAATTATGAAATATGGTGCAGCCTACTATATATATCTTATAAATGTATTTCAAAACAAGAAAACTGATAGAAAGTATGAAGTATGAGAATTAATTAATTAATTGTGGCTTGACACCAAGACGTACTGGTTGACTGACTGTCGGTTGTAACATAATTTTGACTTTGACTTGAAGAGCAGTCAGTACCTGTGGGTATAATTGGGTCAGCCTGTTTCTGGGGGATATAAATACAGGGATCTGGCCCTCCAGGTTAGGGAAGTCTGAAACATGAGAGTAAAATACAGTCATGAATTCCATGGAAATCAGACCCGAGAATGATTGCGCTGGCGACTGCCAGCAGCTATTGTAAACAACAGACATATCCTCTTGTGAGAGAGGGCACCCCACATCAACAAACCCAAAACTGCCTGATAGTAATAAAAATCTGGTCTTGGCCCCCAGATTGGGGCTTTGACTTTGAGATGAGTGCTGGAGGAGTTACTCTGGAGGCTCCTAGAGTCATCAGAGAGTAGAATTGTGTCATGGATCCTGTGGGACTCGGAACCAAGAATCACTGTGCTGGTGAGACCCACAGCAATTTAGGTGGCTTTTCTCAGTCTCCAGGTAACCACTTGGATGGTATCTTTGAATAAGCCATAACATTTCTATCCTGTATCATTCATGAGCATTCTTCCATTTGACTGTACATAACCTGTGCAGTGAGAAAACATCATTCCATGAATAAAGAAACAACAACCTTGGTCTAGCCTGGAGATGGTTGTGTATTGGGCTGCAACATCCTGACGTGCTGCTGGAGTGTCCTGTACAAAGTATGGCAGCTGGACTTGCTCTGGCTTATAGTATATTGGATGCCAGTCTTCAATGAAACCCATACCAGGCTCTCCATTCCCAAACTTTTCGCAGAAGTTGCCATATTCTGGGTTAGTATGTCCACATCGATGTGGGTCATGGAAAGCAACATATAGCAAAAAAGGGCTACAGAGAAAAACAAACGACATTAATATTGATTGCCAGGCAGATTTTACTTTCATTCATTTATTTTAAATTCAATAAATCCTATTTGGCCAAACCTAGGATGTAGAACAAGTCACTATTAAATCAAAATCATAGATAAAGTAGTAACAAATGCTATATTCTTAGTTTTATAATTGAATGACAGATAAATGGAATGGGATGGTTTCAAAGCACTACTTGAATTGCTGGCATTATACCCATGGTATTAGAAGTAAAATGTATCCAGCGAAAAAATGATAGAATGAACGATTCTTAGTAAACAGGAGTAACACAAGGAAACCGACGTTAAATAATGATAAGAAGGAAAATACTCATAATCTTAATATTTACAGGCTTACAAGATCCAGATTACTGTGCACTGTGTCATAAAAGTCACTTAATGGGGTGGTAAAATGTTAATTGTGATTATTTCACTTGCATTCAGATTTTTATTTGCAACAAATACTGGCATTAGCACTTCTATCAGCTGTTGTCTTATTGGTATATTTCCCCAATTTTCCTTTGATTGTAAATAAAGTAGTCTTCCATGCGACATGATTACAGCTGGATAGATCAACTTGTAGGACACTGTAAGATTTTTATCAGCTTGTTAAAGGTATCACCAGTAATAAATCCAGTGGCTGGGAAGGAGAGCTAAAAACACATTTTGTGCTGAGTAAATAGATGGTGGAATTACTTATGAAAATAGAGAAAGATGCTTCTTTTAAATGATAAGATCCAGAGTTCAGAGTAGAAATATAAGTCATAAACTATAGTTTAAAACATCAAAAAACTATATATATGGACTATATATATGGAGGAGGAAAAAGAAGTAAAAACTACAATAAAATTGTTGCACTTAAGACGGTATTTGTCCATATATATTGTGTGAGTGTAACAGGATGCTGAAATATAATATCAAAAAACTACAGGACAGCACATATCTGAGATCCGGTATTACCAAGAGGCCTCCGTAGTCTAGGGGTAACGTTCCCACCTCATGACTTAAGGTACGCGGGTTCAAACCCAGCAGAGGTCATAGAACATTTAAGGGGGTGGGTCCCGTGTCGTAGATTTACGGCACGTTAAAGATCCTCATGTCTCTAGGAGACCTCTGAGCTAAATTAGGCAAAAAGTTTCCCACCTAAGTAGTTTCCAGTGCCTCTGGTAGATGGGGGAAATATCAGGTACCAAGGGCCGACCTCATTGGCTGAACAGGGCTGATAGCACGCACCAGTACCAGTAGGGTATGGCGACTGGTAGAATATCAAAGGGGGACATACAATAGACTATTAGTCGCGGTGCATGGGGAAACCCACCCCCTCTAATAATAATAATAAAAATACAGTAACACCACAAACAAGAATAGACACACAAGGAATCCTACAAAAGAGTTTACCACATACAATACCACTGCATTTATCATAGAGGATAAGAAAGTAGGTCACTTCAGACAGGGAAAGTTTCAGAAGTCAACACCAAAATACAATGACTGGTAACAAGTATCATAAGGCATGTCATATCACAGACACAAAAAGGATAGGAGACCGCAATGTCCATACAAGTTATTTTAATGTTATTCTTAATTTTAACAATAACTAAACACAAAATCAACAACAAACCAACAATATATACACACAAATTATGGGCCAATTGTACAGGCTGTTTCAAAATGATAGACCCAATTTGAAATTGCTATATATCTGCAACCACACACTGCCCATGAATGAAACTCTTACCACTTGAAAGGGTGGGGGATAGAGTTTCAAAAGATTACCACCAGATGCCTCTCCCAGCACATTTCCTAAATGCATCACTGCATCAACATTGGATACGGTGCATGGTGCCCCAAGACTTGGCACTACAGTTTCGGCCCCCGAGATCTCCAGACATTAAACCCTGCAACTTTTTCTGGTAGGGATACCTCAGAGACCGTGTTCTTGTGCCACCATTAGCGACTAACCTGGATGACCTCAAAAACATAATAGCGGCAGCAGTGACTTCAGTGGAAGAAGACACTTTGAGAGGCATCTGGGGATGAATTCAGCTATTGTCTCAGCGTATACATGTACATACATCTTACCCACATTCTCACACTTACAGTATATTGCATTTAAATTAATTTTGTTGCCTACATATTCTCACATTTATACTTGTATATTTCACTGTCTGACCATATGATTGATATCCAACTGGATAATACTTATGACAAGGTACCCATGTTCTATTAGAATGTATAGCATGATGACTCGATTGATATTTAAGTGTGTATACCACCTGAAGATGACCCAGAAATAGGGTTGAAACTTGTGGTGCGCAAGACTAAGCACTGTTAAAATTTGGTATTTGTGTTGATGACACTATAAAAACTATATTTATGAAACACAACAGGATGCTAAAATAAAACGAAGAAAGATCCTGTCTCTTCCAGGAACTGAACCCTGGCCATCAAGCCTCTAAGTTAAAATTATGTCACCAGAATATAAATAGTGTGACATGTTGATCCCTACCGCCCCAGCTCCATGTAGCGGTAACTTAGCGCTCGCGTAATAGGCGAGTAATCACCCCGCAATGCGCAACGCGCGGTGACGTCACGAGCGGAGCCGAAGAGAGCTGAGCGGAGCCGAAGATAGCCGAGCCCCGTAACCTGGTAACTATGCAATGCTAATCAACAGCGGTGACGTCACACTAGCAACAGCGTCCTAGGCTATACGCCACGTCACACTAGCAACAGCGCACGGCTATATAAGCGGACTCCACAGCAGCTACAGTTCAGTTGAAACATAGCAGCCTGCGAGTGTGCGATAACTAAGAAGTCAGCGAGCGGAAGACTTATTGTGTGCTTTCCAGACATAGTGATTGCTGTAGTACAGTTATACTCGGAGTGTGTATTTAAGGGAGACTTGTATAGCTCCCGCGTTATTAGTACGTGAAGACAAGTGAAGACGGTGTTAAGAGATTTTATTGTAGGGTTTGTAAACTGTGGAAACCCGTAACGTTGTGATAATTAAGTGTAGCCGATAGTTGTAGATTGTTCAATAAACCAGTTAACGATCTCTACGGCGTATTCGGTAACGAAACACGTTACAATAGTATTGCTTGCTTATTCCAAATTATTAAGAGAAAGTTGGATAAATACTCTGAGAGATATAAGAAGACTGCAGGCAGAAGTGGAAAAGTTTCTAGCAGTAGAAAAGTCTGCTATTTACTCAAATTGATATTTCTCTCTTTATTAATAAAATTTTTCCTCTCAGAAAATTATTTAAGATAGTAAAACTGTGATTAACTATAAGCTCTAATTTTAACCTTTGTTTGTTTTTGACTGCACTACTTTTATAGTGGAAGAAAAAAATAATATTCTGACACAACTGAATTACCATTTTCAAGAAACAGATTATTTTTGATGAAGTTAGATAATATTTCTGTTATTTACAAGATGTGATTATTATTGACGTAGAATTTACTTACTCTGAAGAATTCTGTTTAAGAAATTCTCGGACAAGAAGCTTAATCTTTGTGATGTTTCTTCCCACTTGCAAGATCGAATTGTTTTCTTCCGTTTCTGCAAAACCGAATGGATACACCTGACTGGGACCAACATGTTTCTTTCCTATAATTCCTGTTCATAAAAGATTAATACACCTCTTAGTGAAAATATAATCAGGGAAAGTGCAAGAAACATTTCTTAAATTTGAAATATATCATAAAAGTTAAACAAATTGGAATTTGAAGAAATAGTAATAGTCTGTGATTATTATATATTTAAAAGATGATTAGGAACATGCCTGGACCAATGCTTCTCAATTGATATGTCATGATGTGTGGCAAAGTGTGCCTCAGTACATTTAAATTCACATTTGTTACAAGCTCTATTCTCAACCATTGTTAATCCTAATACTAGTACTTTGTGTTACTTTTGTTATTAAACAGTAATTGCTGGACTGTTAGCCTATTAAAATGTTACAGGAAGTCCTTGAGGAGCATGATAAAGTATAAAGAATAATAATCATACGTGTGCACATGTGGGCATTCATGGTTACACACATGGGCTCATGTGCATTCTCTTTCTCACACATTCACATTTGGTATAGTTAATGCATTCATTCATCCTTATAGAATGTTGCACTGTAATAATTATCACTTTGTTTTGTAGTCATATCTCTGGCCTGGAGGTCAGGTATCCTGACTGAAGTTGTTCATGATCTTATTCAGTTCCTCCCAGTTAATGCTGATATAGTACTGTAATATATGCCATTTTACTATCTTCAATATCCTTTCCAATTGATCGTTCACAAATCATCGAATCATTCAGTGTTACATAACCTAACCAGGTAAAAAGGCATCAATAAATAAATCAACAACCATCCATTCACATACAACTTTATAAGTTGTGATCTAGTGATCCGTATTATATAGAGTGATTATTTTAGTATTTTACCACAGCAGAAACATTGGACTCAAGTCTGAAGAGAGAATTTAGTTTTAGTACATTCCCTACTGGAGACCTCCATAAAGTATGAGGTCACTCCTATCCATATCGTACCTGTTCTTATTCCATTGTGTGCCAAAATTGCTGGAAGACTTCTGATGTTTTCAAAGGAATTGAAATGATGAACTCCTTGGTGTAAACCATACATCCCATTCTGGTGAATTGGTAAGCCAGTTAAAATAGATGAACGACTGTAATGATGTCAAGTACCAGGTCAGTTGGTATGTCATCTTACGAACAGAATTTAACAAGTCTCATCAACTTTAAAAATTCTTTCAATTTATTTCTAAAATGGAATATTTAGGATTATATTTTGAATTGGAACAGGTTGTAAAGTGGGCACGCAATAGCATAGTTGATTGAGGCGCTATGCTATAAGTCAGAAGGTTGCAGGTTCAGTTCCCAATGAGGTTACTGGATTTTTTTCAATTTACCTAATCCTTCCAGCTGCACTATGGCCCTGGGGTCAACTCAGCCTCTAACAGAAATGAGTATCAGGAAACTTCCTGGGTGGGTAAAGGGTGGTCAGGGTGTAAGGCTGACAACCTTACCGCCATCTGTGAGCCGACAGTCTAGAAAATGTGGGAGTCAACGTTTCACAACCCTATGGGCCTTCACAGACTATTACAGAGATAGCTTTTTTTTTTGCAATCTATAAAGATGTCTGTAAAGACTGATATTATTATTATTACTGTTGTTCAGTTTTGTATTTTTGTAACAGTCCAGCTTTAGAACTGGCAGGTACACTTGTAAGAACATTCCTGTATGTCACATATTCTTAAAGGGCTGTAAATTAAATTACCTAATTGAGCATAAGAAACATAAAAATAATATTATTAATAATTAATTGAGACATGTTATCCTAAACTCTGATTAGTGTTTGCAAAGTACTAACAACTATATGAAATCTAGAGAGGGGCTCCCGAAACTTTTTCATGCCCAGAGTGTAAACAGAGGTATTAGTGACCCCAGAAACTTATATTGCACTCAAACCCTTTCTACTGCAGTTACAATTCTTTCTCCAAATTAAGTATGAGAAGTAAGAACTAACAAAGGATGTTAATAATATCTGACTAAGCTACAGACTGGATATTGCCATGCAGTGTCAAACAAAAAGGCGAAGATGTTCATGAAGGGGCAACAATGATATATATTCAGGGCTTCTCGAGGCATTATCCATACCTCTAGGCCACGCCATAGCTTAAGCAGTTAGTCGCTGGCTTCCCACAGCGGTAGCCCGGATGTGGTCAAGTGGGATTTGTGGTGGACAAAGTGGCGCTGGGGCAGGTTTTCTCCAAGTACTTCGGTTTCCCCTACCAATCTTCATTCCACCAATTACTCCACAATCACCCTCACCTATAATCTGGGGCTGGTACAACAGGCAAGAAGGGGCCGCAGTACAAGGGACTTAGTCCCACCCCACTAGCAATAAAAAGAAATCCATACCTTTGCCTGAATAAAAATACAATACACCTTACTCAGGTTAAACAATCCTTATTCATGCACAGTTTGAACCAATTTGTTGACTCAGAATCGACTGTTTAAAGTACCTTGGTGAACAGCTGCTGACTGATGTGTAAGCATTGTTGAAGATCAGACTTCTCTTTCCTAAGGCATCTAGATTTGGTGTCTGACAGATCTTGTTCCTGTATGTCCCCATTTCAAATCCTCCATCATCAGCTGGCATTATGAATGAATGATATTATAAAGAGTCACAGACCAAATTTAAAAAATGAATACGTCTTACAGATAGCAGTATGTGAATAAATATGAGTATGCTCAGTTTTCTGCTGGAAGTACTCAGTAGTCTACCATACTACACTCCTATTTAGACATTTATTACAAAATAAGATAAAAAGCTTTTTGTCTGCCTGTGACCTAGCATCAACATCTAAACTGTAGAGCAGATTTTCTTAAGATATGATATAGCAGACTTTACTAAAGCTTGTTGGGCAATTCTGGGGCATGATTTTCAGCCATACTGATGCAAAATAAAGCCTGGTTTACATAAGGCCATAAATGGGCTCTTTCATTTATCCCATAAAATGTTTCGCAGACAATGTCAAACATTGATATAGGAGACTTTTACTGAAAGTTATCAGGTATTCTGATTTTCAATCACACTGATCCACAGCAAAGCTTGGTTTACATACGGCCATGTATGGCCTTTCTGTGTCTTCAATAAACCAGTTCACAGATACTGTCCAGTGTGAAAGACATGTACCAAAACTTGTCTGGTAATTTAGATTTTCAGTCATACTGATCTGTGATAAAGCCTGGTTTACATAGGGACATAAATGGGCATTTCCATGTATCTCACAAGCTATTTCACAGTTTTTGTTGAAATTTGATAGGTGACACTTCCAGCAAAAGTTGCCATGAAGTTCTAATTTTCAGTCATATTTATTCATAATAAACCATAGCTTAGTTGGTTGAGGTACTATACTACAAGCCAGAAGGTTGGGGGATCGAATCCCGATGAGGTGGATTTTTTCAATTTACTTAATCCTTTCAGCGGCACTATGACCCTGGGGTCAACTCAGCCTTTAACAGAAATGAGTACCAGGAATATTCTTGGAATATGCTTGGGGTTAAAGGGAGGCCAGAGCATAAGGCTGACAACCTTTCTGACATCTATGAGCCAATTGTCTAGAAAATGTGGGAACCTTCACATCTCACAACCCTATGGGCCTCCATAGCCTGTTACAGGGATACCTTTACTTACTTTAAACCATAATAAGACCATAAATTAAAATTTCCATTAACCCATAAACCCTTTTACAGATTCTGGTGAAATTCATTATGGGAGACTCGCTAGTTTACATTTCATTCATGATGTGTATTTATTAGCCGTCTCGTAGTGCACTCAATCTCACATGTCACTTCACTATATGTTTCGGTATCACTGTGCCATCCTCAGGTGTGTTATTCACGTCAAGCCATTACAACGCTCGCAGCCAAAAAAGAAGGACACAACACAATACACAATATACACAAAATATAGGAAGAATGACTCCCATAGTGGAGGAATGATGTAGTACGCGAATTTGAGTTAAGACGTGTAAGATAATGGATATTAACAAATTTTGATATATATAAATTTTAAATTTTATTATAGTTAGTGAAGAATGTGCATTTAAGATAATTTTAAAAACGACACATGATGGCAAGCAGTGTAATGGCTTGACGTGAATAACACACCTGAGGATGGCACAGTGATGCCGAAACACTTAGTGAAGTGACATGTGAGATTGAGTGGACTACAAAATGGCTAATAAATACACATCATGGATGAAAATCAGTGCAACAGGATGCTAAAATATAACATTATTGCAGTTCATTATTTCTGTTTTTAAATAAGCCTAATAAACTTAAAAAAACACTGCTTGTAAGTCTATGTACTGCTTTATGGAGTACATCCTTTCCAGTTTTGTTTCATAAAATACATAGAACATGTTGATAGAAGTTTAGCAGTAATGAAATGCGAATAAGAACGAATTTTATTTTAATTTAATTTGTGTCAAAAAGACCGGAGAAAGTATATTTGCCCCACTTTCTTTGTCACATCTTAGTAGTTAAATAAATAAACAGCGTTCCATCAAATTCTCCATAAGCATTATCCTCAGTACAGGTACAATAAGACATATGGAAGCCGACGTGCCGAGGGGACCTAATATGGATTCCACATCACACTATATGAAATCTTAACTACTGTAATCTATTGTAAACAAGTTTAAGTATTGTAACTTTATTCTCTTATTGTAATCAGCCAATGTACAGTAACTGACTTGTCCTATATCATGTAACAGTGATCTATAGAGACGAAATAAATAAATAAATAAATATAAGTGGGACACATCCACTGCTAGTCTATGCTGATGATATAAATCTGTTGGGAGGTAACATAAATACTATAAATAAAAACACACAAGTTCTAATTAACACTAGTAAGCAAGTTCCTAGCAGTAAACACAGAGATAATATCTCTGTCCCACTATCACAATGCAGTCAAAATCATAACATCAAGATAGCCAATAAATCCTTTGAAAATGTGGCACGTTTCAGATATTTGGGGATGACAGTAACAGATCAAAATTTGATTCAGGAAGAAATTAAGAGGAGACAGAATTCACATAATGCTTGCTATCATTCGATTCAGAACATTTTATCTTCTTGTCTGCTGTCTAAAAATATAAAAATTAAAATATACTGTAAACTATAAGTTTGCCTATGGTTTTAAATGAATGTGAAACTTGGTCTCTGACATTAAGGGAGAAACATACTAGCTGAGAGTGTTTGAGAACAGGATGCTGAAGAGAGTATTAGGACCAAAGAGGGCTGAAATTATAGGAGGTTGGAGTAAACTCCATAACTTGTACTCTTCGCCAAGCATAATTACAATGATCACATTTAGGAGGATGAGATGTGCAGAGCATGTAGCATGAATTTGGCCAAAGAGGAATGCATATAGAATATTGGTGGGAAAGCCAGAAGGAAAGATACCACTAGGAAGACCAAGATGTAGGTGGATGGATATATTAAAATGGATCTTAGAGAGACAGAATGGGGTGGTATGGACTGGATTGATCTGGCTCAGGATAGGGACCAGTGGAGGGCTCTTGTGAACACAGCAATGAACCATCGGGTACCATAAAATTATGAGAAGTTCTTGAATAGCTGCACAACTGGCAGCTTCTCAAGAAGGGCTCAGCTTCATGAAGTTAGTTTTTTTTCTACATTTCATTTCACAAGTCCAAACAAATGGACATGAAGGTCGTCATACAAAATTTAAACAAACACACAGATAACAAAATAATTAAAACTAATTGTTTATGTTATGCTCCACATATTCAGAAACTGTATAAAAGGAATTATTCATAAGATATAAAAACAGCCTATTTTTAAAACTAATTCTATCCTCTTTAAGGCTTTGAATGGTTATGGGCAATCTGTTGAATAGTTTAATGGCAGTAAACATAGTACCTTTCTGAAAAGCAGAAAGATTCGAGTTTGGCAAATATAATTGCTTTCGATTTCTTGTATTCAAACCATGAACATNATAAGATAAACTCCTAATTACAAAAATAGCTGAACTAAGTTTAGGGAGAATATACTCTACATGACTCTTCCAGTCTAAATTCTTATCAATTTGCAGTTAATATTTTATTTTTGTCTTTTCATGATGAAAGTTGCTACAAAAAAAAAAGTGATGTGAAGAGCGAGCGTTGCAGAAATGCGTGATAATGTGGGATGTTCCCACAGTACATACCAGAAAAATAGTCCTGTGTGTGTATATATTTGGGTAGTTGGAGTGGGGGTGTAGATAGTACATCTGTGTTAACCATGCAGAGAAGACAAACAGGCAAGGACTGATTTTTAATCACACTATGTAATATTTACAGAGCCTCACATAATAGGCCAATAGAACAGGTACCTAAATTAGTTTGTATTAATGCAAATACAGAAGGCTATGGAGTAACATACTTTTAAAACAGACACAAATGATTAAAACAATAATGTACCAAGAATACTGTGTGCATTGGAACAATGGGAGGAGACCAATGATATTCATCAATGGAGAGACTTGTAACACTATTTTTAGCTCCATTTGAAATACTTCTTAAACAAAATTTTGAAAAATACATATGGAGCTTTTAACAGTCAAACTAGTGCATAAGATGATGATGAATTAACACATTCATGCCTGAAAGGGATTTTCTGAAAATTATTCACGTTAATTTCTGTACATATACAAGTACTAATAGTATAACCTTATGAACAAATTTTGGTACAGGAAGGGGATACCGACATATCAAAAGCGCATCACCAGCAGTAAACAAACTATGTTTTGTTTCTCTAGCATATTAGGGATTAATTGCGACGAGCTGATCACTCACCCAAGGAGTCCTACCGTATGTGTAAGATCTAAAAAAACCGAAGTGAACGGAAAAGTTCATGGAGGTAGGCCTAGGCCCACTGGGGATGTAGTGCCAAGGAAAAAAAAATTGGGGGTTAAAGTCAGAAAAGCTTCTGCTCATCCAATTAACGACTCAACCTCATTGCCAAATTGTGTATATATGCACAACCCCCGCTTTTGTTATAGCCCCGTCTATTCAACATTCAATATCGCTCAATATTCCAACGCGGCACTCTATCGCTATCGGTCCTATCGGTCTCCGTTCAACCCCAATTATTTTAAGGCGGCACCATTGTGCAGTAGCTTGTGTGACGTCTTCAGCAGTAGAATGTTCCGCATTGGACTCTAGAAAATGTTTGTAATTAAATTAGTAACTTTACCAATAATGAGTAGTGCGTTTTTCAGTGGAATATCTAAGCGCCTGCAATAGCTTGTTACGAATGAAGCGTACGTGAAAATAACCAAATATAAACGCCTTATAACATTCATGATGAATAACGAACAATGTACGGCAAACTTTCACTTAATGACAGAAACGACACGAAGTGCCGCCAAGTACCATGGCCATAGCGGGTCATACTATGTAGAATAAGGTTATTCAGTTTTCCAATTAATTAGAGAGGAAATGTGCTACAGTCAGGACAATCTATATGGTGCAAGGTTTTTCGTTTTGTTGTGGAGGAGGCAACGTGTAAGAAATGATTACTATGTGTTTTTTCATATTAAAAGTATGAAAACGGTGCAGGAATATGACTCCCCCTTCCCTATACTTCACGTACATGTACACTGTCGCCAGCGAAGGAAGAATTCAAAGTTTGCTCGTTTGGCACTTTCGTAAACAATTTATCATCAGTGATGATGTGGGTATTACGTGTGACGTTAATTAATGTAAATATTGCATGCGTGGCTTTGTCATATTTACGCGTAGGCAATTTAAGCCACTATAGCATAGGAGTTACTAAGAAGTGGTGATGCTAATTTTTTTCTAGGACGAACGTGAGACAGTTCCGTTTTGCAGTGACACATTCAGTGTTTGTAAACCATTGCATTTCATTTGCAAAGAATATATGTGAATTGAGAATCATGTTACATAGGGACAAAATAATTTGTTTGTTTGATGTTGATGGTACACTTACAGCACCAATGAAGGTAAGTTTGACGATAGTAACCGGGAGTACATACCTTAGTGTGCCATCAAAGATAAATGATTGATCGGGATTAAGTAAAAATGTAGAACACAATCTAGTGCAACAAAACCAAATTAAAATATATCTATCCAGGAAGAAGCATTGTGGGATCAAATGCCACTCTGAAGTATGTCATAGTGGTAGAGACTGAACTGTCTTTTTCAAGTTAATTCTCACATGTGAATGTCAGCTTCTCTTCAAGTTTTTGTGTCTCCTTCGTTTTGGAATCATGCTTCCTCAATTATAGTAAGAATGTTAAGATAATTTTTTTGGAGAAGAGGCGACTATCCATTTAAAAATACTAATTCCAATTATGTCTGTTTTTAACCTAATCTAGAGTATAGTGTGGTCTTCTGGGTTTTGACATCATGTGATCCGGTAGCTTGTACCAGTGTTTTAGGGTGACTTGTTGCTTTCTGAGTTCTACTGAGAACATGGAGTCAATGTGTTCCTAAAATTGTTGGTGCCCACCACCTGACTACATGATATCATCACCCAAAAGATCACAGTAGGAAACTTTGCTGCCTTGAGAGCCAAAATTTTGTGTGTGAATAGCTTAACATTGTCATCTTAACTGTGTGATTATTTTCTTTTCTTCTGAAGAACACAGATAAAAATAAACATTGGTTTTCTATCAGAGTTACAGTATAAAAAATAACTTTTTCTTGCATGTATTTGGAAGGACCCATTGCCTCATGTTGCAGCAATTTCCGTATTGAATTATCGACTTTTTGGACATTATCTATTGTCCTTTTTTTTTATATATAAATAATTATAATACTGTACCATCATCACAAATTTCCTTATGTCTGAAACATCTATGGTCTTTCAGTATATCTGATTACTTGGTTACTAATAAAGTAAATTATTGTCAGTTATGTTATATGGCAGTAATACATGCAAGGAAATAAAAGTGGAATTGATTTTAGATTGCGAATGAATAGACATGCTTTGTTATATTTAGTGATCTATTTATTATTATTTTGTAATGTGAGGTTGTGTATTAACATATTATAATCACTGTGCAACTTCCATGATGAAATGTTCAAATTGTATTCAAGAGGTACCTGGTTCAGGTCTTTGCTGGAACACCAGCTGTTGATTACTACTTCTTTTGGTGTCTCTAACCTCAGCAGGAACATAACATATGTATATTATAATTGCAGGTTATTGAACCAGATATTGAGACATTTCTGTTGAATGAATTGAAACCGAAGTGTACAGTTGGTTTGGTAGGAGGATCAGACTTTAAGAAAATAGCGTATCAGATGGGTGGTTCAGAAGCAGGTAAGGATATTATTTTGTAACAAGGCTGAATGTCTAACAACTACCATTAACAATATTTGCTATTCAAAATTATTGCATTGTTTTTAATGTCTTGCAGTGCATATCCCTCATATGTACTTGTGGTGCTACAGTAAAGAGGGTCAGGCCCAAAACTGATAAAAATGATGTAAGTGCATCACAGAATCTTCCTTGGTAAAAGGATCAGACAAGAACCAGGTTATATCTCAAAGCACAGTATAGTGACATACTGAAATACTGGGTTAAATACATTACAGTATGCACCTAAGTTGTTGTTTCTTTTCCTGGAAGGTGGCATTTAATGACTTAACTGGCCTCCAATTCAGTGGGTACCAGGGGCTCTTTCCTGGGGGGTAAAGCAGCCAGGACATGAAGCTGATCACTCACCTCCAACTAGTTTTGAGGTCAAGAAAATACAGCCACTCCCCCATATATGTTATGGCATAGTGCATAATTAGTTAAGCATGGACAACACTTTTTTTCTCTCTTTCCTGTAGTACCATAGATATATGCAGTGCTTTATTCCAACCAGGTTGCATTGATACACATACCAGCAAACTTCTCAAGAGTCAGAAGTCCTCACCTACTACTACCTTGTATGTTTCAACTTTGAGACTAAAACCAAGCATGAAAGTACTGTTTCTAGAAGGTGCTGTGTATGTTTACAATGCAGCAGCTTTGATTCTTCTTGCCAGAGGCTTATGTTTGATCCTGGGCCATCCTTATGGAATTTTTGAGGGAATAAATATCTCTGGAACAGGCTTTGCTATAATACTTTGATTTCTCCCTATTCTCTGTCTAAAACCTCTTTGTGGGTACATCATGCCTTGCATAGACAACCTTATGAAAGAGAAGTCCTGTGTGCTTAAGAAGTTCCTTGGAGTAATCATTTTAGTTCTCAGCATACACTAAAGTAGAATGTGATAACCTAATGATGACATAATGATCCATGATAATGATGCAACCTCAAAGGTTCGAGCTGTCGTTCCAATGTACTTACCTGTCACCACCCGTGAGTTGAGCAGTAGACCCAAGCAGTATTACAACTGTGATTCACAGGTGATCCCCACTTTTGACCCAGTACATAATCATACTCAGAACAAAACTAATGTAATTAAAAAACTTATATGTATTATGTTCATTCATTTATTTTAATTTTATCCTTAAGATCAATATACATTTATATAGGACATGTCAATCTATATTATTATTGAAATACAAAAAACTTATAGGACTATGGCTTATTCTATACATCTGATTATCTCTTGCCAATATTACAGAATTGAGATAATCTTCTATTGAATAACATCCTGTATTAAATATATTGTTCAGTCCTTTTCCAAACTAGTTGTTGCTACCAGTTTGTTATAGAATATGCAACCTGCTACTGATGGTTTACTGATAAAAATTTTTAAATAATGTACGTACCCATTCATCATTTCTTGTTTTATATATATACAGGGTGTCCCAGGAGGAATGTGCCAAACTTCGGGAGGGTGTTCCTTATGTTAAAGTATGCCGATATAACCCAAAACACCTATGTCCAAAGTTGAACGGTTACGGAGATAATGGCCCGAGAAAAGTGTGGTCTTCTTGCAGGTCCACGCACTATACCTACCTGTCAGCTGAGACCCTTATCTGTTTGTCCTTGAGTGCCGCGAGTCACACTAGCGTAAGCTCATGCGCTGCCTACAGATTAGTTTGCTGTGGGGTCGTGAATGGGTGGTAAATTAGTTGTGTGATGAGTTGCTGAAATGCCTTTTGTGTTTTCACACGTCGAGTATTGTGATATGCATTTTGTGTATGGATTTTGCGGTGGCAATGCACGTGCTGCTGTTGAAGAGTACCAAAGGCGTTTTCCCGATCGAAGGATTCCATCTCGAAGTGTATTTACGCGAATTCACCAGACATTGCGTGAGACTGGTTCTCTTCCGAGTGTTTCTGTGC